TAAACATTATTACGTTAATATAATGATATAACTCACTTAGATAGTTACTAAGCACGCAGCAAATAACTTGTACTAACCCTACAGTATGAGTTTGCTAATGTTAGCTGGCTATGCTAATGACATTAGTAAACAAATGTTAACATAAGCACAGAGAAAACAAGTTAAATGTTTTATGTAATCATTCAATCATAAGTTAACGTTTCTTGGATAACAACATTAGCTAGCTAACAATGGCTATTCCAAGCTAAATCCTCAGTTTAAGTTAACATGTGTTTGCTAACAACAGTAGCATAGCTAGCTAATAGTGGCTTATTTAAGCTAACTCATTAGGTTAGTAGGAGATGTTTGCTGTAACCTGCTGTAATATTTTTACAGTTATATCAAAAATATTAAGTGTTATTGTTATGAGCACACACACTAAAACTTAGGTTAACATTTCTTTACTAAAAGCATTAGCTAGCTAACAATGGCTATGCTAAATCATCAGTTTAAGTTAACATGCGTTTGCTAACAACAATAGCATAGCTAGCTAACAGGGGCTAATGTAAGGTAACTCATGAAGTTAGTAGTTTGTCTGCTGTTCATTGTAACTCCAAGTTACACTAATATAAAAAAAAGGTAGGTTGTATTGTTTTGTTATTGTTACACACACACCTACTATATGTTTGTGTTGCAAATACACACTGAACATAAGTCAAACTAGCAGTAAAACAAACACTTACATCACTGTGTTCATCAGTCCGAGGAACTTAACAACAAACACAGAGCGACTGTATTTTATAAAACAGCACAAAACTACTGAACCACATGCTTGTGTGTAGCAGTCAGGCAGTCACAGTTAAGCTTGTACAGCCCGAGAAAGAATTTGAAAAGTGGGGGGGGGGGGGCTTTGTTTATAGTCGGAGACACTATCTCATCATGCTCTGTGTAGCAGCTGAAGTGATGTGCTACAACATTCAACATTCAACAGCGGCCAACTAGGGACACAACTCACGAGAGTGATTTCAAACTATGTGCTGTACCCTCAAGTTTCATATCAAGCTTCTCAGTTTAAGGACAATACGATTAAAATAAACGTGTTAGACCTTTTTTTATAATGGGGATTTATCAGTACAGTGAGCTAACTAATCAGTTTACTTACGACACTTTGAGAGAAAAAAAACTTGGCGTAACATTGACTTAGATAACGGTTATTTGTGGTATGGAGACCGAAAATGAACATCTAGGTTGTATTTCTCAACACCAGAAACCATGATAACACTACTTTATGCCACATTTTGTACACCAATACCACAAATTAACCTTTATGTTAATAAAGGATATCCTGTAATACACTGACAAGTTAGAAGCCAATACATCTTGTATCTGACATGGGTGACTAAACTAATGGGAGTTAAATGAACTGATATGATGAGTAACATAGCTTTTAAAACAAGAAACGAAAGCAAGAATACTGCTGAGTGTTACATTGTTTAAATGGCCTCGGGTCAAACTCCACCTTCAACTCCCTGATCTACTTATCTGCAGCGAGAAAATTAACATACAGTCACAGCTGAGAGACCTTGTAAAACCCCTGTTTCTGCAGTGAGTACATTAAGGATCTTATGTCAGTGTGTTCAGACAAAAACGGCTCCAAAATAGAGTCTGTTTTTAGGCATACTGACAAATAATGTGGTCACCTATGAGGGTTATAAGTTATAAGTCATGCTTTCAGAAGCTGGATAAACACATTCATTCTTGTGTCCTGTGTAAATACTCTTGTAGGCAAACAGTGAATAACACAGAACAAACGTCTTGCTAAGTGTGTCCATAAAAGACTTATCCTACTTCGTATTTATCTAGAAGTGTTAACATCATCATTGTGAAACTCTGACTTTGTAAAAGCTGTGAAAGCGTTGCCGGTTGACTTTGGCTTTCTGTTGAATTGTTCGCTGCACACGACGTGAAGCTGTTTCTTTCTGAATGAGTGCTAACAACAGTTGTTATTGAACCACGGAGAACTGAGTAAACAGTTGGCTGTTAAACCTCAGGTGACAGAGCAGCGACAGGCCTGCTGACTGTGCACTCTGTGTGTGTGTGTGTGTGTGTGTGTGTGTGTGTGTGTGTGTGTGTGTGTGTGTGTGTGTGTGTGTGTGTGTGTGTGTGTGTGTGTGTGTGTGTGTGTGTGTGTGTTGTGTGTGACCAGTCACTCATAACCACTCCTCCCCAACACACACTCACACACACACAGACACGCACAGGCACTGAGTCAAAACCACAATAATACATGACAGCTCAAAGTCCAACTCTTCGCATACTGTGAGCATCAAACTCGTACTGGTAATAAATTGTTACATGATTATATAATACTTGTTATTCCTAGTTAAAATGCTAAACAAATCAACAGAATTTAAGGCTTCTATCTTTGCCCTGTGTTATTTATACTGTATGTAAAAGAGGGGGTTTGAAATTTGAACATGTATGGACAAGTCAATAAATGAGAAGTCAAAAAATATAATACAGATAATAAGATGTCGTTCAAAATATTGAGATATGTATTGTAATAGTCCATTTAACATAACATATTTGAAGAATTTATACTAACACATGTTGTCTTTTTAGAAGTAAACAAAACATCAGCCCACTATCTCAAAAGGTTGGATCCTTATATGACTCCCAAATTGACTTACAGGTGTTTTAACAAAAGGGATAAAACACTATATTTTTTAAAATGCATAATGTTTTTTCTTATAGTTAAAGGTTGCTTCATTTCAGTTTTGTTAGTAAACAGTATGGTGCATACACAATCAACTACAAACTCAGTTAAAGACTTCCTTCAGGAGTAAACACATAGCTCTATTTTATAGTACCGGCCCTTTAAATCTGTTTTTCAAAATAAAATCAAGTCACTTACTTCTGTTTTGGTTAAACCAGTCCATAACCAGTCCAGATCCGGCCGACCATCCATCCCATGCCGGCCGGACGCTCTGTTTTTCACACAATCAACACAGCAGTTCACACACACACACACACACACATACACACACGGCACTCAATCACACACTCGTTTTGTATTTCCCCTCTTTTTCTCTGCCAGATTACCTTCGTGTGTGTCATCTGCGCCTAATGACAGCTGACAAAGTACATGCCACAAATCCTCTCTCTCTCTCTCTCTCTCTCCCCCTCCCCCTGCCATGAAGAGACACACACTCCTCCCTGTCTCCTCCCACAACACACACACACTCCTCCCTCCTATTAGCCAATGTGCAGAAAAAAACCTCCCTCCAGATACTGAATGATTTACATGACCTGCTGTTCTTAAATGTTGGACTCGCATTACACATTGTGACACAACTGTTTCATGTCGTTTTTGACTCAAAGCTGATTAAATACACCTTAAATGTTTTTTAAAATGTAATAATTTAATGTTTTTTTTTTAATCGCTTGTTCTTGCATATACATTCATGTTCAAAAAACAAACTACATTTCTGAATGTTGCGTGAAAGATTGTTAGGGCTTGGTGGTTCATACGGAATAAATACCTTGCTATTGAATAATTGGATGCTAACTTTTGGCCTAATCTGGGATATATAATAATAATATATAGGGATGTCCCGATCACCTTTTTTTGCTCCCGATCCGATTCCGATCATTTGATTTTGACAATCTGCCGATACCGATTTTTCCCGATCCGATCTTTATGCAATGCATTAAGAGAAAAAAAAGGTAACAGATAACGGCTGGTCATCCAACGCGATGAATTCAGCTATCTTGGCTGTTATTTTTTTGGCCTTTTCACTGTTCTGGGGCAGTTTCTCTTTCCTTTTAAAAGTCTCTGAAAGTGTCGGTTGTTTCAGTGCCGTTACCTGAGTGGCCGCTGTGTACTCGTCGTGTTGTTGTTGGTGTTTGTTTCTCAGGTGGTGTATTAGATTGGTCGTGTTGAACGTAGCTCTGTTCTTTCCACCACGCGGAACCTCCGCCTTGCAAACATTGCATCTGGCTGTTACACTGCCTTCGCTTTCAATTTTATAATACTTCCAAACTCCTGACATTTTCTCTGTTAGCTTACTGCTACTATTAGACACTGCGCCCACTCTGTTGCCAGATTTGAGAGAAATAAGCAACCAGGTCTATGAAAACAAGCCCAAAAGAAGCAACACATACATGATGTTGTGTAATTTTAAACCAAAACTAAGGCCTCAGGATGACTTTAAGACGTGAACATGGTCATTTTTGTTTTGTAACATTAAAAAAAAAAAAAAAAAAATTCCCGATCCCCGATTTTTTTCTCCCGATTCCGATCTTTTGAAAATCACGTGATCGGCTCCGATCCCCGATCACGTGATCGGATCGGGACATCTCTAATAATATATAATAATAGTAACATACACTATAGGGCAAAAAGTATGCGGACACCTGATTGAGTCCTAATTCATCCCTTTGTTACATTTTTCAAAGATATAGTTTGAAGAATACAAAGAAAAAAGTCCACAAAGCACTTTCACAGAAACCCTTTGCTTTTTCAGTCACCAGAATTTCAAAATAAAAGCAGGTGGAAGTTTGTCAGAAGCCAACGAGTCATTTGACAGAGTATTTGTGGCTGACTAAGTCCTAATACATCTGCTTGTTACATATATATTTTGAAGAATAAGAAAAGACTACAGTCACAAAGCATTTTCTCAGAAACACACAGCTTTTTCAGTCACCAAACTTTCAAAATAAAAGCAGATCGAAGCGTGTTAGAAGCCAATTGATTTGTGGCCGACTCTTTGATTTAATAGTAACAAACACTATATAGCCAAAAGTATGTGGACACCTGACTAAGTCCTAATTCATCTCTTTGTTACATATATATTTTTTAAGAATTAGAAAAGACCTACAAAGCACTTTCACAGAAAACCATTGCTTTTCCGTCACCAGACTTTCAAAATAAAAGCTGATGGAAGTTTTTTAGAAGCCAACGAGTCATTTGACAGATAAATGTGTGGCTGACTATTCATCTGTTTGTAACATATATATTTTGAAGAATAAGAAAAGACTACAGTCACAAAGCATTTTCTCAGAAACACACAGCTTTTTCAGTCACCAAACTTTCAAAATAAAAGCAGATCGGAGCTTGTTAGAAGCCAAGTGATTTGTGGCCAACATATCAAACACTATATGAAAGTACAAAAGTATGTGGACACCTGACTAAGTCCTAATTCATCTCTTTGTTACATATATATTTTGAAGAATAACAAAAGACCTACAAAGCACTTTCACAGAAAACCATTGCTTTTTCAGTCACCAACATTTCAAAATAAAAGCAGATGGAAGTTTGTTAGAAGTAATTTGACTCCCACAACTCTGGGATATAATAGTAACACACACTATATGAAGCATGTGGACAGCTGATTATTCATCTCATTATTACATATACATTTTGAAAAATAAGAAAAGACTACAGCTACAAAGCATTTTTCACTGCTTTTTTAGTCACCAAACTTTCAAAATAAAAGCAGATGGAAGCTTGCCAGAAGCCAATTGATTTGTGGCCGACTGTTGTATAGTATCAAACACTATATGGTCAAAAGTATGTGGATACCTGATCATTATATGAGCTGAATAAGCTTAATTACACCAGTCGACCTGACCCACAATACACATGTTGAAGCATGAATCTGCTGAAAACACAACCTCAATTTTTTGTGAGGTTTTCCACAAAAACCTTCATTTACTCCACTTCCTGTTCACCCCAAAAGGTGTTGAGGTCAGAGCTCAAGTTCTTTCACAAAAAAAGGCAAAGCGCTTTCTTTACGAACAATGCTCTGTGCACGGGGTTCGGGTTATTGTCACGTTGAAAAAAGAGCAACTTTTTCCCAAACTGTTGCGTATAAGAGAAAGCACTCTGTTGTCTAAAAGTATGTTGAGGTTTCAAATTACAGGCAATTGGTCAAAAGATGATACACTTTAAATGGAAGGATCCAACTTCAACAATATATATATATAGAGAATTAGCGAAGTATACAACACAAAACATTACTAATGACCTTAGGGTTGAATATGACAATTAATGTACATATGAGAATACATTTAGTTCTGTTATCTGTTATAATAATACTATAAATTGATGTCTAACCTTTTCTCTACCCTCCTTTTGCCGATTTGTTGGTTGCTTTTTTATGCGTTATAGTTTGAACTGCATTTTGTTTAGTTGTTTATTCCCTGTAGACTTCTAAAAATGCAAATAAAAAAGATAATAATAGTATTAATGTTCACTGGAAATAAGGGAAGACAAAGACAAATGGATGTCTACAGACTTTTGGCCGACATATCACGTATCTATAGTAACATTTTATAAAGTTCAAAGGGAATAACAATATCTACAAAGCACGTTTACTGAAGCCTAATGTTTTTTAAAGTACCACGACTTTCAAAATAAGAGCATGTGGAAGTCTGTCCGACGCCACAGAGTGACAGAGAAACACAGAGAGGGTGAGAAAGGGAGTTGTTTTACATAATAAGTCTCGTCTCTGTTTGATAACGAGCCTCACACAAAGTGAGAGCTGAAAACACAAGTGAAAGTGTGTGTGTGTGTGTGTGACAAAAAGTTGTAAGCGCTGGTAGAAGCAGCTGTGTTTCCCAGGCAACACACACACACACGCACTTCCCTTTCTCTCACACAGATCCTTCTCTTTCACGTTTCTCGACCTGTGACACGACTCTGGAAACGTCAAGTTCAAAACGAACTCTCCCTTCACTCATATTTTTAAGCAATATCATACTAAATTCAAGTGTTGAAACGCAAATTCAAACCTGTGTATATGTATCTGATAAATGATCATTTTAAAATGGCAAAATAATTAGCTCACTCACCTCATATGCAAAGCATCCTGGGTAACATCCATCATCATATAGTGCTCTCTGTAAAACACATAAAACAACAATAATGATCAATACCATTAACACTAGAACCGCTAGAGGTCGCTGTATACCTAAAACCGCCAACGGGTAACATTTACCCGCTATTGATTTTCAAGGTACAATGTTCTTTTATTTATCATGCGATGAGTCAGTGAGTCAGTGAGTTTTGATCGCACAGGGATGAAACTTATACCAATAGAATCTGTGGACTCTCAGCTTTTCATATGATATAGTTTGTGCAGATAGCATGAAGTATAAAATATCGCTACCAGTGCTGATTTAAACACTTGGTGTTAGACTTGTGTTTTGTTTAGGTACAAATCTCTCTCTATCTATCTATAACTATCTATCGATCTATCTGTAATGTTCTGTTCTATGGACATATAATTGTCTACATAAACAGACGACGCGGACTACTTCTCTCATTCCGAGTGTCCATCTTTATTCAGCTGGCACGTAACCTGCACACAATTACGTCCTCAACGTGAGCTCAGTCATCCAAGATCTTGTATTCGCCAAGATGTTACACTATCTATAACTATCTATAACTATCTATCTATCTATCTGTCTATCTCTCTCTCTCTCTCTCTCTCTCTCTATCTATCTATCTATCTCTCTATCTATAAGGAACCGCAGTAGACAAAAGGCGTTGCTATAGCAACACGTCATGTTTACGCTGCATTTTCTATGAGGTAAATATTACCCGCTGGCGGATATAGGTATAAATGGCCATTTTTTGGGCGATTTTTTCAATCTGACTTCATATTGACAATTTTTAACAACAGAGGGTGCTACATAACACACTTTCAGGAAAAGTCACGGACTGGGAGACTTTAATATTTTATTGAAAAAAAGTTGCAAAATGTACCCGTTGGCGGTTCTAGTGTTAAGGAGAGGGACATCAAATTGGTTTTTGCACATTCAATTTGAGACAGACTTTTATCAAAAACAGTGACAACTAAACTCCCATGATGCAATTCAATTTAAATACTGACCCTGAGGTTCATTTAAACTGATAAACTAACTTTAATGTGGAAAAAAGGTGGCACTTCTCCTTTAATACTTAACAGATTCATTACAGACAATGATTTACTGCAACACTTGGGAAATGTTCACTTCCTTTTATAATGCTGCAACTTATTTCGTATTCTTGAGTTGTACTTTGATTGTGCCACTTTGTTTAATATGTTAGTCTAATGATGGTATTTCGTCACGTCCTCTCAGCAGGGTGTATTTCCCGCTGTAAGACACTGACGATAAACCTAGTTTGTTTCCAGGATTGAGTGAGTTGCATCACCGCTGCACACGCTATGAGTCAATCTGTCAACGAGTACAACTGGGACACACACACACACACACACACACACACCCAGGATCAAATGCATACAAGTGTGTGTTTAAAGGTCACCTATTATGCAAAAAACACTTCTTCATGTCTTTTCTACATCAACATGTGTCCCCTCTTCTTCATGTCTCTTCTACATCAACATGTGTCCCCTCTTCTTCATGTCTCTTCTACATCAACATGTGTCCCCTCTTCTTCATGTCTTTTCTACATCAACATGTGTCCCCTCTTCTTCATGTCTCTTCTACATCAGCATGTGTCCCCTCTTCTTCATGTCTCTTCTACATCAACATGTGTCCCCTCTTCTTCATGTCTCTTCTACATCAACATGTGTCCCCTCTTCTTCATGTCTCTTCTACATCAACATGTGTCCCCTCTTCTTCATGTCTTTTCTACATCAACATGTGTCCCCTCTTCTTCATGTCTCTTCTACATCAGCATGTGTCCCCTCTTCTTCATGTCTCTTCTACATCAACATGTGTCCCCTCTTCTTCATGTCTCTTCTACATCAACATGTGTCCCCTCTTCTTCATGTCTCTTCTACATCAACATGTGTCCCCTCTGTGGAAAGAGACTCTGAAAGTTTCAGGAACAAAGATTCTCTCTCTTTTTGTCCTGATCCATTTCTATAAAAACCTGTCTGAAAATGAGCTGATCAGATTTTGGCCACTTTATGATGTCATAACGATGTTTTGGCTTGTGTAACCATTAGCCAATCAGCAACCAAGGTAACCCCCCCCCACCTTATCACCCACCTTATCACCTGAATCTCCTCCTAGAGCACCATTGTGTTCTTCTTAACCAAATATGGGCGTGGGGAGTGGCTCCTTATTTTCATCTAAAGTAACAGACAGAGAATCAGCACTTTTGAAACAGGGGATTATGGGATGCTGCAATGATCTGTTTGGTGCTTCAGCCAATCAGAGACAGGCTCTGTATATATCTGAGACCTGTAATATATTGATGAAAGACAGTATAATAGGGGACCTTTAAAACATGTACTGTTTGAGTTTTTACAGTGTGAAATACTGTAGCAAAATTTCACTTTACAACTTCACCCACTGGAAGTCTCTCTGCTGCCCACAATAACAAGAGGACCTGCTGCTTTTCCCACACACTGATACTGGTTTCAGAGCGTTGTGAGGCCCTTGTCCCACTGTGAGGTCAGTGTGGTGCTGATCCAGATTCACAGAGATCCACTTCACGTTCACAAACATCCCATTTCACAAAAACTACTCACCTCACTATTAATGTAGTCTTTTAATTTCTCTAATGTACAATGCCTTGTATTTTTATGCTGCTGCAACGCAAACATTTCCCAAATTGAGGATCAATAAAATACATCTTATCTTTAAGCAGAAACGTGTTTGAATCTCACAGGTGCTTTTAAAGGCTTGTTTAGGAGGATTTTTTTACAGTATTATCACTCTATTCTCATGTTGCAGACCAATTCAGTGTCAGATCACATGTCCTGTTGTTGTGCCCTCGAGCAAAGACCCTGAGAGAGGCTACCTGCCCCTCCTTATCTTATGTAATCGGGTGAAATCTAATATTTTACTGGAAATATCACACGTCACATGTTCTCCTCAGTGAATCATATCCTCTCTCTGACCTCTTCCTCCCTAAATGTGAGAAAAGGTCACTATGACTGTGAATCCACTCATTGACATTTTCTAGTTTGTAACTTGCTAAAATTCATTGTTATTTAATCAGATCATAGCCTACATGATTCATCCTGAAATCTTCAAAGTTGTTTTAAAAAGGTGCCTTATTTTCTCATAGCTGGCCGGCTCTGTTGTGATTGGTCCACCGCTTAGAGATGTCCCGCCGCTTAGCCTATCACGTACAATGTGTTGGAGCACTAGCCAATAGAAGTGTGAATGTTCCATAGTGATGTCATTATGTTGAGGAAGTAAAGAAAGGAGTCCAATGGAGGCGTTTCAGGGGTCTTATCGTTTATTCTCATGTTTAACTGTGTCTCAATTGCAAAAGTCAGATCACATGTCCTGTTGTTGTGCCCTCGGGCAAAGACACAGAAACGTCTACGTGCTTCACCTTATCTCTGAAACTAATATGTTCAAGAAACATCAGATGTCATTATGTTCTCCTCAGTGAAGAGTGTTTTAGTAAGAAAGGTTGCCATGAAGATACTCGTTGTAATTTCTAGTTTGTAACTTGCTCTAATTGGTGCTAGTTGAATCTTATTCAAAAGCAATTTGCCAAATCCGTCTGTCTCAGCAACCAACCCTCGTGAGATCTGATAACAAAAGCCTTAACTTAAGTCAAACTAAGTCAAAATTATAACATCAACTAATGTTTGAAAAAACCCTTTCAAAGTCATTTTTGTAATGCTAAAAATCTTGTAAATCTGGTCAACTTTGTGTGTGTGTGTGTGTGTGTGTGTGTGTGTGTGTGTGTGTGTGTGTGTGTGCTAAAGGGTTACTGTAATCAAGAGGACCAAATGAAAAGTAGAAAAAGAAGAAGTGAGTTTTTTTTGGTCATCGGCCAAATCTAAACATCTGCTGGTTCTAACCCCTGGTGTGCGTGTGCGTGTGTGTGTGTGTGTGTGTGTGTGTGTCATTCGCCCTTTCAGTCAGTTGGAACCAGCTGACTCGTACCACACAAAATGCACCTGCCACCACTGAGAAAAAGCTGCATACAGTTTGTTGGTGTGTGTGTGTGTGTGTGCAACAGCTGATCTCTACACAACTGCTTTGTGTATTGCACAAACATGCAATTACACGTGTTTTTCCTGCACACGCACCGACAGAAAGACTCTGTGACTCAGCTCAGGGTGCGCTCTTTAAAGTTGTAAAAAGCTGTGACTCGTTTTGTTCGGCACCAAAAATCCCAGTTTGACTCGAGTTTAGATGAAAAGGTTTGCATATTGCTTTTCTAATAAAAAAGGAAAGAAAAATATGTACAACCTATATATTAGGAACGTTAATGCAGGAACGTATGGAATTACATTTTAATGGGAGTCCTTAAAAACAACTTAGATTTGAGCAATTCTTTAAACATATTTCTAAAATATATAAAAAAATATATACCTGCATTTTGTTTTCAAATATTGATGAGACATCATGAGGTGAATTTCCCCCAGCTTATACCTAACATGAACAAAATGTATACAAAATGGACACATACACAGCCGTACAAACCTAACATTGTTGTTGCTTTTGTACGATGCATTGCAGTGGATTTGTTGGTAAACAATCACATGCAAACATGATGTCACTACAGATGGTCGGCACCAACAGAAGACTATCTAATATCTAAGTATTCATGTTTTTAAATATGCAAATAGCTGTTGATTTACAGCAGGTACGCAATTTAGACTTTCTTTAATGTATTTTTAGAAATTACTTGTACGTCATGTGGAATTCCACTCCGCTTTGTTTTTGAGAGGAAATAGAAAACCCACCCACACACACACACACACACACACACACACACACACACACACACACACACACACACACACACACACACACACACACACACACACACACACACACACACACACACACACACACACACACACACACACACACACACACACACACACACACACACACACACACACACACACACACACACACACACACACACACACACACACACACACACACACACACACACACACACACACACA